ACGACAGAATAAAGTGTAGTGTCCAATGAAAATTTATCGACTTTATTTCCTGGGTGTCGACCTTCCTTGAGAGATACCGAAAAAATCAGAGGTTGTCCAATTTCCTGCGGAATTTGACAACAACGTCGAGCTTTTCATCACAAAGAAAGCTAAAACACAATTTAATGTGGTGCAACATGGTCAGAAATGCACGGCTTTTCCAAACCGATCAAAAAAAGCAAAACACAAAACAACCGAAGGAGAATGGACTCCGCCTTCAAGCTACTGTCAATATTTTTATTCCTCCAAAATCACATTCATTCATATCTGTACAAGTAGAAATAAAAACGGCTAAACTGCCTGCTAACAGCGTACACATTTGACAAGAATTCATGATGATCATCGACACATAAGCTTTAAACAAAATTATTTTACCAACAAACGCCATAACTTCGCAATAAGAACGTTGAAAGTCTGAAAATGGTTTTGTGGTATCTAGTAATACGTTATGAACGAAAGGGTTCAAACAAAATAATACCTCGGCGATAGGGCACCACTACAACAATGGCAACAAGGAAAGCAACACATTTTTAAATACCAAAGGCACAACTTGAAATTCACAACATAATACAACTGGCTAAATTAGCTCCCTCAAACATGAGAAGATAATTACATCACAGATACCCCACTGACAGAATTCCGGCTAACAGAATTGCAAAATGAAGCCTATAATACGAGATCAACCTAACCTAATTTCGAAGCGCTAATGTACTGAGGGAGGAGCATCGCGGCGCAATAGTAGGTCCCGGCAACAATAAGGCTGCTTTCATAGTCTGCGCCGTCCGCACGGGCTGTGAAATGGCGCGGACTATGAAAGCAGCCTTAAAGCTGGTGTCAGAGTCCGCGACGACGCGCGAATCGCAAGAATCGCAAGTGCCCTATGTGATCATTTAAAACAGTGAGTAGGAACCAAGTAGGATCATGTATAGTCGTCCTTCAACCATCACCATAAAGTAGAAATGGCGGCGAGTATTGAGCCACTGAAGGAGTACATGATCGGGACACATGCTGTTTCGCGTAAGCGTCGCGCGATTCTCGCGAACGTATCGCGGACTTTGACACCAGTCTAACCGATTTTTTTCATAGAGAATGGCTCCGGGATGTGTGAACCATTTCGATTGTGTAGGAAGGGAGGGGTTCACATAATGGGATGAAAATATTTGCAATGGTTGAAAGCCTGATTGGATGTGTGACGATGCGTGCACCCTTATACCCTTATTAACCACCTACGTATTTCGTCAAGTCCCTTGTAGCTAAGCAAAGCCATTATTTAAGATCAATTCCTTTCAATTTCATTCGGTCGTCTTGTTTAAACCTTTATTCTTCGATCTGTGACGATTCGGCTGGATGGAGAGATCGGAACTGAAGCGAATAGTATTGTGCAGACTCGCTATCTCACTTCCACGATGAACTCCGATGCGTTATCTATAAATTGAGGATACATCCACCACATGCAATGAAACATGGATTTTCGAGCCATTTTCCGTAATAACCCTCGACAATAAAGGAGTCGTGCGGCGAGAAACCGCCTGTGCTGATCTCTCCTATGAACCGATATTTTGAGACTTTTCTTCCAGAATAAGAACGAAAAATTGCGCTTTGTTTCAACACACAATCTAGAAGAACTACGGAAAGACTATTGTTCTTTCGAAATCCTGCCGTAGAACTGTCACAATATTGGCGGCGCGTTTCCATTTATTTCTTGGGGTGCGGTCACAAGCATATCTATATGTTCTCATCAGCTATGGTTGAAACACTTCATTCCTCTATTTCATCCTGATTTAATTGCGCTTGAAACATTTTTGCCTCCATTCACGATTTGGGACAGTGTGGATTCAGCCATTTTCACAATGTCCAATAGTGTAGCCATCCTAGTACTTGCTTTTCTTCGCTACCGGGCCGTCGGGGTTGGGGGGGGGGGGGGGGGGGGGGGGGGGGGGGGGGGGGGGGGGGGGGGGGGGGGGGGGGGGGGGGGGGGGGGGGGGGGGGGGGGGGGGGGGGCCCCCCCCCCCCCGAGAGGGCCCAAGTAGTTTTAACACATTGACGACAACGCGGGGGATATATATCCCGCGCATTGCAGGCCGTGTCGGACCGTGCGGGGGATATATCCCCCGCACCCATTACACTAATTTTTTTCGCGCACGCCTGGTTCTTCTAGAAGTTTCTTGTAATTATTGAATGGAGGAGACCTTGACCTAGCTAAAAACATAGTGGTCCATAGAATGGTCACGTATGCTTCAATTTGGAGGAGGATTTCTGAACCATACGAAATCTTCAGCCTAATAAATTTTTCGTTTACTTTTTCTTCCTATGAATGTGAAGGTTTAAATAGTAGTAGAAGTAGATACGGTACCTTAGAGATGACAATATATGTGTTTTGATTAAAATAATCAACTCAAAATTGCCTTTGAAGTTTATTGCAGCTTGTTCTAAAGAATATCACTTTTTCATTGTTATTCCATGTCTTTCAATAGAAATTCCGCTACTGTACCTCCGAGTAGGTTGTGCTCATTACAATATATTGATCTGGCCTTGTATTGATCATTATTTATGTTTTTATCACTCAAAATTTGCTTGAACAACCTGAGGCGGCGGCGCTCGCAAAAACGCCGTGGTCCCACGTGGCCAAAAGTGCCAAAACTCGCGTTGTCGTCAACGTGTTAAGCTTGTTCCTTTTAATGACTTAATTTTCATGCATGGCACCGTTTACGCTGCAACTAGTGGTTAAATATGACACATTTATGCGAGGTAAGAATACAACGAATTCCGGTGCGCGATTTTTTGAAGACTGTGAACCGAACAAAATCGGTTTGAGGCCGCGATTGTACCTTACGACTGCCTTGCACTCAGATTGCAGTCCATTGTGGATTATATACGTATTGATCATTTGATGGCATGATCGTCAACCGTAAGATCGCACGGTCGAGATGCATCTGCTGAGAGAAGAACGCAAGACCGCAAACTGTGGACGCGGGCTAACTAAGAAAAGTAGATACCTTCACATGTGTTATCAATATGATCCACTTCCTGAATCCGTCCCTTCATAGTCGGGTCATCGAAAGGATCTCGACTCACAGGTAAGGGACGCCAAACGACGAGTTCGTTACCCTGAATGACGCCCCTGAAATTGTTTGAAATACACGAGATCTACGTCTTCAATCAGAAGGCTACAAAAAGTTGACACATTGCGCTTCTTATTTTTGCATCAACCATCAACCCATCAGTGATATGGGGTTTTGGTCTAAAAAGCTTATAAGCAACTCGGACGATGAAAAAAAGTAAATTGCTGATTCTTTTGGTTTTCTTTGGCCTAGTCTTTCCCTATAGATAAAAAAATGAATTGCTCCTTATAGGTACCGTTCGGAAAAGAGATTGTGGAAGTTTTCATGAACTGATAAGAAGATATGCTAAAGCTTATCTACCTCGATGGAAGATCAATACCGTTCGTTTGCTTCATGCGGTCTAGGTAGCGTTGGAGACAATCATTGAGAAGCAACTGGTTCGGTTCCTCATTTGGCTCCTCCACTACTGCTTGTGGAGAGCTGCTTCCGTTCAAATCGTCATTATCAAACCACTCATCGTCATCATCATCGTCGTCACCGTCAGGAATCGGACGTATCCCTGAGAAAACCTATGCATCTTTAATAACTACCTGTCACTGCTGAGGCAGCCACTTTAGAATAAATCACTCTAATACAATCAAAATTGGTACTAGCTTCCAGCTTGACTTCCTTAATCTCAAGACGCGGCATCACAGGCGATCCACCTTTTTGCGACAACTTGTTATGGAAATGAAGACTGTTTATGATTTTGTGTTTTTCTGACCTCGTGGTGTATTACACACCTCGGCTAATGATGTTC